ATTTCTTCCAGGTTGTCCATTTTATTGGCATAGAGTTGCTTGTAGTAGTCTCTCATGATGCTTTGTTTTTCTGCAGTGTCCGTTGTAACTTCTCCTTTTTCATTTCTAATTTTATTGATTTGAGTCCTCTCCCTCTTTTTCTTGATGAGTCTGGCTAAAGGTTTATCAATTTTGTTTATCTTCTCAAAGAACCAGCTTTTAGTTTTATTGACCTTTGCTTTTGTTTTCTTTGTTTCTATTTCATTTATTTCTGCTCTGATCTTTATGATTTCTTTCCTTCTACTAACTTTAGATTTTGTTTGTTCTTCTTTCTCTAGTTCCTTTAGGTGTAAGGTTAGATTGTTTATTTGAGATTTTTCTTGTTTGTTGAGGTAGGCTTATATTGCTATAAACTTCCCTCTTAGAACTGCTTTGGCTGCATCCCATAGATTTTGGATCATCGTGTTTTCATTGTCATTTGCCTCTAGGTACTTTTTGATGTCTTCTTTGATTTCTTCAGTGATCTCTTGGTTATTTAGTGATGTACTGTTTAGCCTCCATGTGTTTGTGTTTTTTACGTTTTTTACCCTGTATTTGATTTCTAATCTCATAACGTTGTGGTCAGAAAAGATGCTTGATATGACTTTGGTTTTCTTAAATTTACCAAGGCTTGATTTGTGACCCGAGATGTGATCAGTCCTGGAGAATGTTCCATGTGCACTTGAGAAGAAAGTGTAATCTGCTGTTTTTGGGTGGAATGTCCTATAAATATCAATTAAATCTATCTGGTCTGTTGTGTTACTTAAAGCTTGTGTTTTCTTATTAATTTTCTGTCTGGATGATCTGTCCATTGGTGGAAGTGAGGTGTTAAAGTCCCCCACTATTATTGTGTTACTGTCAAATTCCTCTTTTATAGCTGTTAGCAGTTGCCTTATGTATTGAGGTGCTCCAGTGTTGGGTGCATATATATTTATAATTATATCTTCTTCTTGGATTGATCCCTTGCTCATTATGTAGTGTCCTTCCTTGTCTCTTGTAACATTCTTTATTTTAACGTCTATTTTATCTGAGTATTTCTACTCCAGCTTTCTTTTGATTTCCATTTGCATAGAATATCTTTTTCCATCCCCTCACTTTCAGTCTGTATGTGTCCCTACGTCTGTTGTGGGTCTCTTGTACACAGCATATATATGGGTCTTGTTTTTGTATCTGTTCAGCGAGCCTGTGTCTTTTGGTTGGAGCATTTAATCCATTCATGTTTAAGATAATTATCAATATGGATGTTCCTGTTACCATTTTCTTAATTGTTATGGGTTTGTTTCTGTAGGTCCTTTTCTTCTCTTGTGTTTCCCACCTAGAGAATTTCCTTTAGCATTTGTTGTAGAGCTGGTTTCGTGGTGCTGAATTCTCTTAGCTTTTGCTTATCTGTAAAGCTTTTGATCTCTCCATCGAATCTGAATGAGATTCTTGCTGGGTATTGTAATCTTGGTTGTAGGTTCTTCCCTTTCATCACTTTAAATATATCGTGCCACTCTCTTCTGGCTTGTAGAGTTTCTGCTGAGAAATCAGCTGTTAACCTTATGGGAGTTCCCTTGTATGTTATTTGTCATTTTTCCCTGCTGCTTTCAATATAATTTTTCTTTGTTTTTAATTTCTGTCAGTATGATTACTATGTGTCTTGGCGTGTTTCTCCTTGGGTTTATCCTGTATGGGACTCTCTGCGCTTCCTGGGTTTGGGTGGCTATTTCCTTTCCCATGTTAGGGAAGTTTTTGACTGTAATCTCTTCAAATATTTTCTCTGGTTCTTTCTCTCTCTCTTCTCCTTCTGGGACCCGTATCATGCGAATGTTGTTGTGTTTAATGTTGTTCCAGAGGTCTTTTAGGCTGTCTTCATTTCTTTTCATTCTTTTTTCTTTATTCTGTTCTGTGGCAGTGAATTCCACCATTCTGTCTTCCAGGTCACATATCCATTCTTCTGCCTCAGTTATTCTGGTATTGATTCTTTCTAGTGTATTTTTCATTTCAGTTATTGTATTGTTCATGTCTGTTTGTTTGTTCCTTAATTCTTCTAGGTGTTTTTTTTTTAATTCTTCTAGGTCTTTGTTAAACATTTCTTGCGTCTTCTCAATCTTTGCCTCCATTCTTTTTCCAAGGTCCTGGATCATGTTCACTATCATTATCCTGAATTCTTTTTCTGGAAGGTTGCCTATCTCCACTTCATTTAGTTATTTTTCTGGGGTTTTATTTTGTTCCTTCATCTGGTACAATGTCCTCTGCCTTTTCATTTTGTCTATCTTTCTGTGCATGTGGTTTTCCTTCCACAGGCTGCAGAATTGTAGTGGAATCGCCAAGTCTTAACCACTGGACCACCAGGGAAGTCCCAAGACACTCTATGTCTTTTGATTAGATAATTTAATCCTTTACATTTTAAGTAATTATTGGTAGGTATGGACTTACTGTTGCCATTTTGTTAATTGTTTTCTGGCTGTTTTGTTATTTCTTGGTTCCTTTCTTCTCTTGTTCTCTTCCTTTTTGACTTGATGATTTTCTGTAGTGGTACACTTATTGGTACCACTGTGTTGTTCTTTTGTGTATCTACTCTAGGCTTTTGCCTTTGCTTACCATGATACATGAAACAGATATTTTACTTTTCCTTTCTTTTGCATTCAAATCATTTTCTTGTGAAATGCCACTACCCTTTTGGAGTTTGTCTTCCTCAATTATTAAATAGTATACTTCCATAACAATGTTATATTTATAATATTCTTCTGGCTTTGCTTGTGATTTGAGGAATTCTCCACTATTACTTTCCATGACTTCATGAAAGTCCTACATCTTCTGCAATAGATTTGCAGTTTCATTTTGCAAACAATTTGGAATGAATTTGCAAATAGGCTAATGGGAACAGAAAGATATTACATGAGGAGGGATATCTGATGACTAGTTTTATAAGTGATTGTTTTATTGGTAAATATATAGCAGGGCAACTTTTGCATCTTAGTGCAGTCTCTCAACTGGCGGAACTTCTAATCAAACCCTGACTAATAAAGACCCCCTGCAGGCATGTAATAGGGTTGTGGTAAGTCATATATGGGTTAATGCCCATGAAGTGCTTAACATTTGTTCCTGGCACAAGTAGAGTTGATTACTTAATCCTTTGTGCTGCCACTGTATAGCATAATATCACATCATATGGTATTAACAATTGCTAAATTGTTTATGTGAGTGTATTTCCTAATATGTGACTCCTAGAAGGTAGAAATGATTTCTAATTCCTCTTTATACTCCTAATAACCAATAAGTTCCCCATAATATCTGTTTAGCCTTCCTCAAAAGTAATTTCCTCTAGGCCCTGAAACTATTATGTTTTGTGCCTTTAATTAAAAAAATTTTTTTACGAGGCAGATACCTCTGTACTAATATAGAATAGTCTCCAAGATACAGTGATAAAAACAAAATGGAGAACAGTTTGCAGCATATGCTTTTTTTTTTTAATTGGAGAGAGAATACACATATACTTTTGTGTGTGTGTGTTAATTTGTTATGTGCATGGACTGCTTAAGGATACATAAGAAACCATTAGGAGTGATTGCCTTTGGGTGGTAACGTTGGGAATACACATGGTAAATATTTAGTTTTTACTCTATACTCTTTAGTATAGCTAATATTTTTTTACTTTGTGGATATATTACCATATATATATGTGTGTGTATATGTATTTACATATATATATATCAGGAAAAAGGATTTTTTTATCTTTACAAATATATTCAGGAAAAACGCATATGCTCTTTTTGGACAACTGCATCATTGGCAAAGTTCTGCTGCTTTTCATGTGCTTTCAAGGCAAGTCCAATCTACGTCTTGAAAACTGTTTCCTGCAATTCTGCCTTGCTTTCAAATCCTTTTGATTGCCTTACCTCAATATATTTTTGGACGATAGTTATCATTTATAACCCTGCAGGTTTGTGAATTGCAGTGCCCCTGAGCTCCATTTTTCAACTCGCTTTTTTGGGAGCTGGCCGCAAATCTGCAGGGTTGCTTCAGACTCTATTCTGGTTCCAGGGAGCAAGTTGAGCCTTTGGTTAATTCTTCTTCCTGATTGGAAATTAGAGTGACATATGCCTGTCCGAACACCTAGAGCTGGTCTCTCATCGGATCCCCTTCTTCCCGTTCATCCTCTGGACAAATTGCAAACTGTACGAAACAGGAGGTTAAAAGTGCTGATTCTCCAAGTGGGGAGATAGTTAGTACGATGGCTGGAATGGCGAACCCGAGCACCAGGAGATGAATAGATGAGGTGCGTCTTAGAAACCTTTCCTGATCACACGGTGTACCATCCTCTGGGTTTCCCATGCATGTTTTAGCTGTAGGAAGATTCCCCTGAATCTGGAGATTTGGGACCCATGGAATGGGTACCACGCAGTATTACTTTAAAGGGTCTGCATTTGCTCACCCAAACTCACTAATCCTCTCAGCCCCAAGAGTGTCCAGCCTATGTCTCATCCAGCTGTGGGTCTAGATGTGGTCAATCCAGGTTTCATCACAGCCCCTGAATGAATTTCATAAGAATTTTTCTCACTTTCACTGTCCTTGTTTTTGTTTTTGTTTGTAATTTATTTTTATAGTGGGGTTTAGCTGATTTTCAATGCTGTGTTCATGCCGCTTTACACCCACTTCATTTACTTACAGAGAGATATCAATATACACGTTTTAAGATTCTTACTAGTCAGATATATTCTTCTCCGGTGAATAGGGTGTGTTGAGTCCAGTTCATTGAGCAATGAGTAGGTCTTTTTCTTTACATATTTGGTTTATCGAATGGTATCTGTGCTAATTTCAAACTCTTCTTTTATGCAGCACCTCACCTCACCTTTCCCCTTAAGCAGCCATAAGTGTGTTTTCTAAATGTGTGACTCTGTTCTGTTTTCTAATTCTGTTCATATATAGCAATTTTTAGATTCCCCCTCTAAGTGATATCTTATGTAAGTTTCTTTTTCTGTCTGACTTATTTCACTTAGAATCATTGTACCTAAATCCACTCCTTATGCTGCTACTGGCCTTATGACATTGATTTCATGGCTGAGTGATATTCCATTGTACGTAAGTACCACAACTTCTTTATCCATTTTTATCTTTCCTGGGATATTTAAGGTGTACCCAAGTCGAGGTTCTTGTAAACAGAGCAGCACTAAACTTGGGGTGCCTGTGTCCTGTCGATTTTTGGTTTTCCCAAGATATATGCCCATGAGTGGAAGTGCCCTATGCTCTGTAGCTCTGTTTTTTAGATATTTCAGGAAACACCATACACTTCTGCAGAGTGGCCATTGGCAATTTACATCCCCCCCATCAGCGTAACAAGGCTCCCTTTTCTCCATGGCCTGTCCTGCATTTGTGGTTTTTACACTTTTCCAGGATGGCCCTTTTGACCGGTGGGAAGTGAGACTTCTTTGTAGTGCTGATTTGCATTGCCTGCTTGTTTGGTTGGCCAAAAAGCGCGTATGCGATTTTTCTGAATATATTTAGGAAAAACACATACACCCTTTTTGGCCAGCTGCATCACTGGCGAAGTTCTGCCACTTTTCATGTGCTTTGAAGGCGAGTCCAATCTACGTCTTGAAAACTGTTTCCTGCAATTATGCCTTGCTTTCAGATCCTTTTGGTTGCCTTACCTCAATATATTTTTGGACGATAGTTGTCCTTTATAACTCTGCAGGTTTGTGAATTGCAGTGCCCCTGAGCTCCATTTTTCAACTCGCTTTTTTGTGCACTGGCCACAAAACTACAGGATTGCTTCAGGCCTTATTCTGGTTCCGGTGGGGCAGGCTGAGCCTTTGGTTAATTCTTCTTCCTGATTGGAAATTAGAGTGACATGTGCTTGTCCAAACACCTAGAGCTAGTCTCTCATTGGTTCCCCCTCTTCCCATTCATCCTCCGGACAAATTGCAAACTGTACGAAACAGGAGTTTAAAGGTGCTGATTCTCCAAGTGGGGAGCTTGTTAGGAAAGAGGTTGGAGGGGTGAACCCGACTACCAGGATATGAGGAGATGACGTGTCTTTTCCAAACTCTTCCTGATCAAACGGTGTACCATCTTTTGGGTGTCACAGGCATGTTTTAGCTGTAGGAAGAATCACCTGCATGTAAGGAGAACACGGGAGATTTTTCCAAATCAGTGTCTCCCGGAAACACAAACTGGGAAATTTTTAAGCTACGGGTATGTGTATGTTCATTAAGGGCCTTGGGCAGTAGGCAGATTCCAAGCTTTAGATGATTGAAGTCTTCAGGGTCAGAAGCGCTCACCATCGACCTCCTTTAGGTTTCGTTTTATCTGTCGTTGATAGATGATGTAGATATAGATATCTATTGTTTTTCAGAATATTTCCCCTTATAGGTTATTACAAAATATTGAGTGTAGTTCCCTGGGCTATACAGTAGTTCCTTGTTGATGATCTGTTTTATACATAGCAGTGTGTATGTATTTATCCCAAACTCTTAATTTATCCCTCCTCCCACGTTTCCCCTTTGGTAATAATAAATTATAAGATTTTATACTTCTCAGAAATGGGGGAGCTGAAAGAGAGATATCATATTCAATGGAAAAGCATTCAAAACAAGATTGAAGCTTCAGCCAAGATTATTAGATGTATATCCTTGGAAAGAAATCACTTCATTTCTCTAATGTTGACCTGACAAATAAGACAAACCCCTCCACTGAACTTGCTTATAGTAAAGTTATGGAAACATCAAATGGAAGTGTTAGAAACATCTTATTTTACACGAGCCTTATACACTGCTCTATGTTAATAACAGTTTGGCTCACACATCTATTCATTGAAGTTACAATGTTCTCAATTTCTGTTACTGATCCTCCAGAGTGGGTCCCAACAAGGGTCCCCCTGCCCAGCGTCATTGGAGCCAACAGAACGAGACTGAGTTTGGTTCAGAAGCAAAGGAAAACTTTATATTTTGATCAGAGAATGGAGAGGTGAGAGCATGCGCTCCCCCGCGGGCTGTGGGCCGGGCTGCTGTGTAGGGACCCCGGCAGCGTCAGCGGGAGGGAGAGGGCGGAGCTCTCGAGGGGCGGGTTGGCTGGAGCTCAGGCTCTATGTCTTGGAGTCTGCACGGGGCCCCGCGAGCTGAGGTGTCGGCCCAGCCATTTTGCACTAGGAAATCGGCTCTGCAGTGCCAGGTGTGAGGCCTCTGCCTGCGGAACTTTAGGAGCAAGTGAAATTAGGCAAAGCACAAAGGAAAAAAAGGTTAGACTTTACTTTATTGCCCAGATTCTATTTTTATCTCCAGGAATTTTTCATGGGCTTTGCCGGTGACAAACCCCTCCTCTGCCTTTTGTCCCGTTCCTCATTCTTGGGGCACTGAGGGTGCAGACCCCTCTTCTGTAAATGCTTCGTGCTGAGCTGGGAGTCCTCATACCTGGCGGGGAGGGGCAGAACTTCTCCTCAGCAGCCTCCAGGTGAGGTTGATTGTCCCCAGGGCTCCTGCCTCACTGTTCGTCCGCCTGAGCACCAGCATTGGAAGTGTTATAAATTCTAACGACCTTTAAGGGTCCAGGAAAGAGATGCGCAGAGACGCTAGAGTGGCCGGTTTTACCCCGGCCCCACATTTGTTCGGCCACCTTAGGCTGATGGTTTCTGCCAGCCTAGATGCTCTGACCAGTAGTCTGCACTTTCTTCAGTTAGGCCACTGAATTAACTTAAAAACAGAACCAGGTGTCAGAGCCCTGCCTGGTCAACTCCCAGACAGTCCAAGGCCGGTGGTGATCCAGGACCATGACGGCCACTGAGTCAACGGACTTTTGAAGTAGCTAGGAGTCCAGCCAGTCTCATTGGCCGCTGTCACCGTGGTGTCTGGTGGCTTTCCTATGGTGACAGCGTGATATACGGTTCCCCCGCCAAGCTTATTAGCTCCCCTCTGGGTGCAGTAAGTCCTGCAAGCAGTAGTCTGCTCTTTTGGGGCACACTCTTGTTGTTTTCCGGAAGAGAAGCTCCAGGTCAAGTGATGCTCACACGAGTCGTCATGGGGGCCCGTTGCCCCCAGTTGTCTCTCTGGAGGTTGGAGCTTGAGGGCCTCCTCACTCGAGGTCAGTGTGCCCACGGAGCGACCCCTGCAACTTCAAGGCAAGGTGGGTGGTTAGGATCACCACGTGGGGTCCTTTTCCCTTAGCAGGCAGCTGACCTTGCGGGCTGCTGATTTACAGGTTTTTAGATACCACCAGTATCCTGGCTGGATGGGGCGGCAGGCCCAGCTCTTGGTTACCGTAGTTTCTCCTACCTGGAGGGCATTCTTGAGTTGTTCCATTTCAAGTGGTCCAAGTTTTTGCACTAATACTCCAAGGGCGATTCACCTTCTACCGGGAATGTAAAGGTCAAAGGGTTTAGCTAAATTTGGGAGGGCCAGGGCCAGGGCCTGAATTAACTGCTCATTGCATTCTTGAAAGGCCGCTTCTGGATTCTATTCAAAAGGATCATCATCTTTTCCTTTCAATGTTTCATATAGAGGCCCAGCTATTAGACTGCAGTTAGGGATCCAGATGCAGCAATCCCCGGCCTCCCCAGGAACCCTTAAGCTGTCTTCTTGTTTTAGGAAGGGTAAGGCTGCAAATGGTTTCTTCCCTTTCCTGGGATGCGCTTCATCGACCTTCTGTGAGAATGAAGCCCAGGCAGGTCACCTTAGTCTGTGATATTTGAGCCTTTTTCTTGGACACCTTCTATCCTTTATTGGCTGGGTAGTTCAGAGACCTCCTTAGTAGGGCTGGCGATCAGAATGTTGTCTGCATATTGAAGGAGGGTTCCCTTCTCCAGAGGTAGATCTTTTAGGTCTTTAGCTAAAGTTTCCCTGAAGATGGTGGGGGAATTTTTGAACCCTTGTAGTAGGACGGCCCAGCAGTATTCTTTTTGTTGTATGTTGAGTCCTGCCAGTCAAAAGCTAAAGTTTCTTGTGACTCTGGGACTAATGGAATACAGAAGAAGGCATCTTTTAAGTCTAATACAGAATAACAGGTGCAGGTGGAGAGTCAAATGACAAGCATTGTGTAGGAATTAGGAACTACTGGATATATATCCTCGGTGGCTTCACGGACTGTCCTGATGTCCTTTACCAGGTAACCAGCAGCCCACAGGGCTCTCATGGTCAGGCCCCTCCCAGGATATGGAGCTCAACTGGGCTGGCACCCAGCAGCCCAGGGGGCTCTCATGGGCAGGGCCCTTCCAGGATACGGAGCTCGCCTGAGCAGATACCCCAGCAGGGCTGGGAACACAGGAACCATGCACATAGCCTTCATTGCAGAGCACCCCCAGCTCACCTGTTGGTCAGAGCTGACCCAGAGCACCACAGAGCAGGGCTTGAACTAACAAAACAGCAGCTCCAACAGGTCTGTGACCCTGGGCTTCACTCTGTGTGGCCTCACTCCGCCTGGTCTTCCAGAGGCTTCCACTGCAGCTGGGGCACCAGGCCTATGTCTCCACCCACCACCCCTCCTCTGCTTGACTCCTGGCTTCTTCTCATTAGGAGAGGGTTTTCTTGAATTGTCTCCCACTCATGAACCAGATAAAATGATTAGAAAACAAGCCAGAGCTGCAGCCCCTTGTCTATCCTGACTCTCAGAACTTGTTCCTTCGACCTGGCCGGTGCAGCAAGGCCCATTTTCTGCAACTATGAGCCCTTGATGGGCGAGGATTGGCTGACCTGGGCAGCCTGACCCGGCGGGCCAGCCCTCCCCAGGTGTGCCTGGGTTGAGGTCAATATAAAGACCCCCTCTAGGCAGCCAGATCCCCTGCAGCTGTGCCTGACGCCATATTCTCTGTCCCATCAGCAGTCTCTGGGCTGGGCTGGTGGGAGGGAGTGAGGGGCCACGGATTTGTGGGTGGCCCAGTGTGAGTGGGGCTCTCCTGGACTTTCTGCAGGAGTTGCCAGTCTGCCACCTGCTAAAGAAGACGATGTGTGGAGCTCCCCTGGTGGCGCAGTGGTTGAGAGTCCGCCTGCCGATGCAGGGGACACGGGTTCGTGCCCCGGTACGGGAAGATCCCACATGCCACGGAGCGGCTGGGCCCGTGAGCCGTGGCCGCTAAGCCTGCGCGTCTGGAACCTGTGCTCCGCAACGGGAGATGCCACAACAGTGAGAGGTCCACGTACCAAAAAAAAAAAAAAAAAAGAAGACGGTGTGTTACCAATACCTGCCGTTGGAATTTCTCCCCGGGCAGAGGTGAGGAAGGAAAAAAGCAGTGGGGGCCAGGACAGGAGGGTTACCTCAGGCAGGGAAATGGAAAGCTTCCAGAAGAGCGCCCAGGGCCAGTACCATCCTGGCTGGCCTGCAGGCACCAACTTGGGCCTGCGTGCTGTCGCTGGTATGACTCCAAGCCCTTTCCTCTAGGCTTTAAAGTCTTTGCACACATTCAGGTGTTTTACCTGGGAAGGGTGGGAACAGTTTAGCAGCAGCAGGCCTGGGGCTCAGCTCACGTTTACTCAGAGACGCCTCCTCGCAGTCCCCCAGCTTTGCAATGAGGACGCTCCTTGCGGGGGTGCTGCTGGCTGCATGGGAGACGATTCCCCACCTCTGACCAACTTCAAAATTGTTTACCACTGGAGCAAGTGTCCTGATAGGGTTTTCGTCTTTATAACTGGTGGGTTATTTTTTTTTTCTTTTTTTGGTTCAAGGTAGGTTTTATTCCTTTTTTTGTATTTATAGATATAAGCATAGAAATAATTCATATAAATATGTCTATGGGAAGAGAAGAACTTTTTCTTTCTGTTTTATTTTTTTTTAATTTTCAATCTTATTTATTTTTTTATACAGCAGGTTCTTATTAGTTATCTATTTTATACATATTAGTGTATATATGTCAATCCTAGTCTCCCTATTCATCCCACCCCCCCAGCCACTTTCCCCCCTTGGTGTCCATACGTTTATTCTCTACATCTGTGTCTCTATTTCTGCCCTGCAAACCAGTTCATCTATACCATTTTTCTAGGTTCCACATATATGTGTTAATATACGATATTTGATTTTCTCTTTCTGAATTACTTCACTCTGTATGACAGTCTTTAGATCCATACACCTGTCTACAAATGACCCAATTTTGCTCCTTTTTATGGCTGAGTAATACTCCATTGTATATATGTACCACATCTTCTTTATCCATTCGTCTGTCGATGGGCATTTAGGTTGCTTCCATGACCTGGCTAATGTGAATAGTGCTGCAATGAACATTGCGGTGAATATATCTTTTTGAATTATGGTGTTCTCTGGGTATATGCGGGATTGCTGGGTCATATGGTAATTCTATTTTTAGTTTTTAAGGAACCTCCATACTGTTCTTCATAGTGACTGTATCAATTTACATTCCCAACAACAGTGCAAGAGGGTTCCCTTTTCTACACACCCTCTCCAGCATTTACTGTTTGTAGATTTCCTTATGATGCCCATTCTAACTAGTGAGGTGATACCTCATTGTAGTTTTGATTTGCATTTCTCTAATAATTAGTGATGTTGAGCAGCTTTTCATGTGCTTCTTGGCCTCTGTATGTCTTCTTTGGAGAAATGTCTATTAAGGTCTTCTGCCCATTTTTGGATGGGGTTTTTGTTTTTTTAATGTTGAGCTGCATGAGCTGTTAATATATTTTGGAGATTGATTCATTTGCAAATATTTTTTCCCATTCTGAAGGTTGCCTTTTCATCTTGTTTATCTTTTCCTTTGCTGTGCAAAAGCTTTGAAATTTCATTAGGTCCCATTTGTTTATTTTTGTTTTTATTTCCATTACTCTAGGTGGTGGATCAAGAAAGATCTTGCTGTGATTTATGTTAAAGAGTGTTCTTCCTATGTTTTCCTCTAAGAGTTTTATAGTGTCCAGTCTTACATTTAGGTCTCTAATCAATTTTGAGTTTATTTTTGTGTGTGGTGTTAGGGAGTGTTCTAATTTCATTCTTTTCCATGTAGCTGTCCAGTTTTCCCAGCACCACTTATTGAAGAGACTGTCTTTTCTCTATTGTATATCCTTGCCTCTTTTGTCATAGATTAGCTGACCATAGGTGCATGGGTTTATCTCTGGGCTTCCTATCTTGTTCCATTGATCTATATTTCTGTTTTTGTGCCAGTACCATATTGTCTTGATTACTGTAGCTTTGTAGTATACAAAGTCAGGGAGTCTGATTCCTCCAGCTCTGCTTTTTTCCCCCAAAACTGCTTTGGTTATTTGGGGTCTTTTGTGTCTCCATACAAATTTTAAGATTTTTTGTTCTAGTTCTGTAAAAAAATGCCATTGTTAATTTGATAGGGATTACACTGAATCTATAGATTGCTTTGGGTAGTACAGTCATTTTCACAATATTTATTCTTCCAATCCAAGAACATGGTATATCTCTCCATCTGTTGGTATCATTTTTACTTTCTTTCATCAGTGTGTTATAGTTTTCTGCATACAGGTCTTTTGTCTCCATAGGTAGGTTATTCTAAGGTATTTTATTCTTTTTGTTGCAATGGTAAATGGGAGTGTTTCCTTAATTTCTCTTTCAGATTTTTCATCATTAGTGTATAGGAATGCAGTAGATTTCTGTGCATTAATTTTGTATCCTGCAACTTTACCAAATTCATTGGTTAGTTCTAATAGTTTTCTAGTAGCATCTTTAGGATTCTCTATGTATGGTATCATGTCATCTGCAAACAGTGACAGTTTTACTTCTTCTTTTCCAATTATTATTCCTTTTATTTCTTTTTCTTCTCTGATTGCCACGTCTAGGACTTCCAAAACTATGTTGAATAATAGTGGGGAGAGTGGACATCCTTGTCTTGTTTCTGATCTTAGAGGAAATGCTTTCAGTTTCTCACCATTGAGAATGATGTTTGCTGTGTGTTTGTCATATATGGCTTTTATTATGTTGAGGTAGGTTCCCTCTATGCCCACTTCCTGGAGAGTTTTTATCATAAATGGGTGTTGAATTTTGTCAAAAGCTTTTTCTGCATCTATTGAGATGATCATCTGGTTTTTCTTCTTCAATTTTTTAATATGGTGTATCACAC